TATCTTAAACCTATCCATGAAGATGAAATATGGCTCCACTTGTTTTTTATATTCTTTGATCTCTTTCATCAGTTTTGCTGTTTCCTCATGTCATACAGACCCTGTATGAAGTTTGCTAGTTTTATATGTGATATTTGATTTTATGGTGATAATGTCAGCAATACTGTATTTTTAATTTTAAAACCAACTGTCCCTGGCCCTTATATAGGAAAGCAATTGACTTCTGCGTAATTACTTTGTACTGTGTAACCTTTATTTTTTGCTTTATTGTTGATTAATTCCAAAATGTGTGCATGTGTGGGTGTCGTTAAAATTTTCTCCATAGGCCATCATTTCATCTGTAAGCAAGGGCCATTTATTTCTTCTTTCCCAATCTGTATATCTTTTACTTCTTTCTCTTGTCTTATTGCATTGGTCAGGGCTCTGAGTATAATGTTGAGTATAAGTGGTGAGAAACCAGATTTGATAACTAATAATAGTCATGGAATTGTTCATAACGTTCCTTTACTAACATTTTACGCCTATGGGATCTTTAGTGGTTATTCTTCTTTCATTTCAGGTGTCAGTAATTTGCATCTATTTTTATTTCTTGCTTAGCCTCACTAGAGGTTTATCACTTTTATTTATCTTTTCCAAGAACCAGCTTTTAGTTTCACTGATTTTCTCTAGTTCCTCTTTTCAATTTTACAGATTTCTGCTCTAATTTTTATTTCTTTTCTTATGCTTATGTTAGATTAGATTCTCTCTTCTTTTAAGAGTTTCCTAAGGCAGTAGCTTAGAAGATTGATTTTCCATCTTTTTTTTTCTTTTCTAATGTATGCATTCAATACCATAAATTTTCCTCTAGGCGTTTAGAAATATTTTAAAATTTTTTCTTTAGACTTGCTTGATCAATTTATTATTTAGCAGTGTCTTGTTCACTCCAAATATTTTGAGATTTTCCAGTTAGCATTCAGTTAATGATTTAAAGCTTAATTTTATTGTGGTGTGTGAGAATGCTTCCTATGAATTATATTCTTTTAAATTGGGTAAGGTGTGTTTTATGGTCTAGAATGTCTATCTTGGTTAATGTCCCATGTGAGCTTGAGAAGAATATGTATTCTGCTGTTGTTGGGTGAAGTATTCTATAAATGTCAATTAGGTCCAGTTGATAGATGATGCTGTTCAGATCAACTATGTCCTTTCTGCTTTTGTACCTGTGAGGCCTATCAATTATAATAGAGGGGTATTGAAGTCTCTAACTCTCGTGGATTTGTCTATTTCTCCTTGTAGTTCTATCAGTTCTTGCCTGTTTTGGCATATTTTGACACGGTTGTTGTATATTTGACATATACACATTAACGACTCAAGTATTTGTGAAGAATTGAATCTTTTTATTATTATGTAAACCTCCCTTTTTTCCTGACACTTTTTCCTATTCTGAAGTTTGTTTTGTCTAAAATTAATATAGCTACCTAAACTTTCTTTTGATTAGTATTATCCTGGTGTATCTTTCTCCATTCCTTGACTTTTAATTTATCTGTCTTTATATTTAAAATGGGTTTCTTGTATATAGTATGTAGTTGAATATTTTTCTAAAATCCGGTCTGATAGTATCTGCCTTTTAATTTGTTTATTCACATTTACAGTGATTATTGATCTGGTTAGATTAATATCTACCATGTTTAAAATTTTCTGTTAATCACATTTGTCAGCTGTTTCCAGTTTATTAAAATTTCTCCTCTTCTTCTGCCTCCTCTGGTTTCAATTGAGTATTTGATTATTCAATTTTCTGTCTTCTGTTAGCATATCAACTACATTACTTTAAAAAAAATTAGTGGTTTTCCTAGAGTTTGCAGTATACATCTATAGCTAATCTAAGGCCACCTTTAGACTACAGCACGTTAATGTTTCAGAGTCACGTAGGTTTCTTATAGCAGAGGGTTCTGAATTCTTCCTATTTTTCATGACACGGATGTCATTCATTTCATTTATTCATATGCTGTAATCATTCAATGAGTGTGCGTGTTGCTCAGTCATATCCAACTCTTTGTGACCCCATGGATTGTAGCCGGACAGGCTCTTCTGTTCATGGAATTCTCCAGACAAGAATACTGGAGTGGGAGATCCCTTCTCCAGAGGATCTTTGCAACTCAGGGATCAAACCTGCATTGCAGGCAGATTCCTTACTGGCTGAGCCACCAGAGAAGCGAAATCACTCAATACATCATTGCTATTATGACTTTGAACAGTTATTTCTTAAACAAATTAAGAGTAAGAAAACAAAAGATTTTATTTTACCTTCATTCTCTCTCTAATACTCTTCATTTAGGTAGATTTGAGTTTCTGACTTGCATAACTCTTTTCTTTGGAAAAATGTCTTTTGTATTTCTTAAAGGGCAGATCTTCTGTTGAAAGATTCCCCCTTTTTTTTTTTTTTTAATGTTGTCTAAGGAAGTATTTCTCCTTCACATTTGAAAGCTAATTGTGCTGAATGTCAAAATCTAGGTTGGTGGGTTCTACTTTCAACACCTTAAATATTTGACTTTAATCTCTTCTTTACATGCTTGGCTCCTGATGAGAAATTTGATGTTAAGTCTTATCCTTGTTTCTCAAAAGGGTGAGTTTTTCCCTCTTGTTTCTTTTAAGATTTTGTCTTTAGTGTCCTGCAATTTGAGTTTAATATGCTTATGTGTAGATTTTTAGTATTTATCCTAATTGGTGTACTCAAAGCTTCCTTGATCTGTGGTTTGATGTCTGTTATTAATTCTGGAAAATGCTTAGCCAGCTTCACTTCAAATATTTTATATTCTCTATCTTCTTTTTTTCTTGTCTTTCTGCTATTCCCATTATACATATCAAACTCCTTTTGTAGTTATTTCACATTTCTTGGACATTCTGTTCCCTATTTTCCCATACATTTTTCTCTTCCTAATTTGGTTTTCAAATTTTTATTGACGCATTTTTCAAGAACATCTATTCTTTCTTTGGCTGAATCTGCTCTATTGTGATAGCCCACCAAAGACATTTCCTTCTTTCAGTTAAAATACGTCTGATTCATATCACATCTCCTGATTCTTTCTCAGACTCTCCATCGCTTTCATTAAATTGGCCCATCTGTTCTTGAATGCTGTCTACTTTTTCCATTAGCACCTTTAACATATTAATCACAGATATTTTAAATTCCCGGTCTCATAATCCCAACATGCGTGTTGTGTCTAAGTCTAGTTTTGATGCTTAACTTCGTTTCTTCAGACTATGTTTTTCCTTGACTTTCAGCAAGATTTTCTTTTCTTTTCTTTTTTTTCTCGAAAGCTGGAAATGATGTATCTGGTAATAGCAGCTGAGGACATTAGGGTTTAGTTGTGCGGCTCTGCCTAGGAGCCGGGCTGTGTGCAGTGCTTTCTGATGCACCGGATCTCCTGTTTTCCTTTTTGCTGGTTGTTTGCCCTCCTGTTGTCTTGGGTTCACCCGAGAACTCCTTGTTAAACAGTCTGTATTTTGCAGCTCTTTTTGTGAAATAAAGTGAAAGTGTTAGTCACTCAGCCATGCCCAACCCTTTGCAGCCCTGTGGCCTGTAACCCACCAGGCTCCTCCACCCTTGGGATTCTCCAGGCAAGAATACCGGAGTGCATTGCGCCATTTCCTTCTCCAGGGGATCTTCCCACCTCAGGGACTGAACCTGGGTCTCCCACGTCGCAGGCAGATTCCTTACCATTTGAACCACCATGGAATCCCCATCTGCTGTATATGGGAGCCCTGCTGGGGGTAAGGCAGCAGGTAGGGGAAGTGTTCTATGGTCTCATGAGTACATTTCAGGTTTTATTATTCGGCCTGAGTTCTTGTGCTGTGACCCCCAGATATGTTTTTAGTCTTTTTTTAAATTTTCACTTGAGTGAGACAAGAGGGCTGGAGGTCAGGATAAGGATCTGGCAAAGCTGTTTCCCTTGGGGACAGGGTTGTTACAGAAACAGAAGCTACTGGGTATATTCGGTTACTTTCCCCCTGTCCCTCCCTGATGCACAGTATTTCTTTGATCTTCAAATCTTCAGTCTGAGACCCAGCTGGAGTTCCTAGAGGTAAAGTCTACAAAAGGCCAGTTCCCCCCAGCAAGTCCACACTCCGCCTCCAGAGATTCATCAATCACTGTTTAAGTGTCCTGCCAGTTCCCAGCTCAGCTGGCTTCTGCTCCCAAGCAAGCTGATCTCAGCTCTGATGCTTTGCATCTGTCTCTCCAGTTTGCCCTGGGACCTCAATTCTCTGACGGAGCTAAGTTGTTGATTTTCAGCTTGCCCTGTTTTTTTTCATGTTGTGAAGACAGGAGGGATGACCTCCAAGTTCTTTTCATGCTGAAGATGAAGCTGGAAGTCTCTCTATGTGTTTACAGAGGCACAACGTGTAATCACACCGGCCCACCAGGTGCTTCCCTACGGCCCCCTGGAGGAGAGAGAGAGATGCTCATCAGTGGTCCCAGGTTCCTGGCTGGTGAAATGCCCTCCTCCCTCTTTCCTTCCTGGCCTGGTGGAGGAATGGGGACAGGATGCCATGAACACTCCAGCAAATGGTATGGCTCACAGGCCGATCACAGTACTGCTGCTGTTAATAAACCTTCCTCTGGGCATGATTCTATCCCACTGATTCTATCCCTCAGTGTCAGCCCTGAATAAAAGGCTGCGGGATCTGTATGGACTGTGTCTGCATGTGACCCAAGTGTGATGGGGAGTGGAAATGGTCAGAATCCCTCCCCAAGTTCAGCCAGACCCGTTCAGCAGGAAGGTCACACGCAGGGGAGAGGGGGAGGAAGCCAGCATGGCGGAATGCTGTGACTTCTGTCTGAGTGGCGGGCCTGAGTTTGGGGCTACCCTTTGGGTGGGTCCCCCATGGGGACCACCACCAGCCCCTCTCCTCCTCCCTTCTCTCAGCCCCCGACCGTAACATCCCTCTGTACGGGATGCCCTCCACCTAATGCCTGCACCCCAGCCAGGGCGGTCTCTAAGGGGACAGAAGGCTGCTTACTCATCCTACCGAGAGCCGCAAGGGCAGCCCACCTTCCTGAACCGCATCCCGGCTCCTCCCTGGGCTGAGGCCTCGCCCGTTTTGCCTGTCCTCCTGTGTTCTGACCACACAGCCTCCCTGTCTCTGCTCAAACCCTCCAAGCTCTCTGCCCTGACCTTTCCTCGGCCGGCTTCTGCCCTGCAGGCCCCCTGAGCCCCGCCCCTGGGTTCCCGGCCCTGGTCTGTGCTGCTCTCTGTTCCCACGTCCCTCCCCGGCGTCGCCCTCCCAGCCAGCCCCACGCCCGTGCCCCTGTCCCAGTGGACTTGGGTGCTCCCAGCCTTCCCCTGCCCGACGCTATGCAGAAGGAAAGCAGTCACCTTCTTACACATCCCAAGTCACAGAGCAGCAAAGCCAGCCCGGGCCCTCGGGTCAGCGCCGGGATGAGCGCTTTCCTGTTTCATTTTCTTTCTCTTTCCCTTCAGCAAATAAGGGTCTGTCTTGCTCACCTCTGTGTTCTCAGCACCTAAAGCGTCTCTGACCCACTGTGGACCTTCAGAACCGATGCACTGAACAAAAGAAGGAAGCTGACTGACGCTGCTGTCCTTTAACAAGGGCCAAGACCCCGGGTCGGGGTGGATCTGCGGACCGCGGCATCCACACTCCCCCTGGGGGCTACCGTCTGCCCCTTTGGAGGGCATGGGGGATGCTGTCTCTAGACCCCCACATGGAGGATGCAGGAGAAAAAGGCTAGATTCGGGGAGAGAGCGCGAGAGTGGGGGAGAATGCGAAGCCGATCAAAACTCCTTTTACAGTTGCGGCTGTAAAACTTTATAGAGATTTCTCCACACACGACATGAATAATAACCACGCTTTCTTTTCAGTAATTGCCAAGCCCACAACGCCCATGAGGCCCTTTGCGGGCAGGATAATCGCCGGGCGCCGGCAGCGGGCGGGAGGCCCCGCAGAAGGTGCTCGGTGCCCAGGCAGGCCTGGGAATTGGGCGGCCGCTTTCAGAAGGAGCCAGCTGGCATCTGCCCGCCTTCCCCGTCGGTGGGGCTCAGTCTGCCGGCCGGGCCACAGCAACCTCCAGCGGCCGGGATGGGATAGCTCTGGCCTGGTCCAGAGCCTTCTCTTCTCCAGACTGAGCGGGGATGGATCCGAGATGACCTCACACCCCTTGGGGGCTCCATTCTGCCACCACTGATGGGCAGGGCGTGTGGCCCTCCCCTTCCAGCTCTGGGTCTTACTCTCTCAGCTGTTACGGGGGTTGCGGGGGGCGGGCGGGGAGGACCAAGCGGCTCACTCAGGGAACTGGGTCCACACCCTGAGCCTGAGCCTGGGGGCGGGTAAGGCATGCTGACCAGGAAGCTGGGGTCCCGGCCTGGGTGGTCAGGGGTCAGGGGCTAGGAGCAGAGCCAGGAGAAGACACCCCCTGTCCCCCTGCTCCGTCCCATGCCTCCCCTGCGCGGCCCCTTCCTATCGCCTACAATAAGGCGGCTTCCTTAGAAGGTCTCCAGACTGGGCTCACTATACCGAGACAGCAAGTTAAACGGTCTCTTCCCCCCCCCCCCCCCACCCCCCCGTCCTATTTCTGTTTCCAGATTTTGTGATGTCACAGGTTGTCTCTCCAGTGCCACGCTCCGTGGCAGCCGATCACGCAGGTGGTAACGTGTGCTGCCACATTCAGGCGTGGGCTCCCAGGTTTTGACGCCTGGACCGCGGGGCTGGCAGCACGTCTGCGCATGCGCGGCCCCTCCCACCCCCCCACGCGGAGCTCCGCTCACCTGGCGGCTGGCAAGGCAGCGTTGGGGAGCAGACAGACTGTTCAGGCTCGCGGGCGCCCTGCCCGCGGCCAGGGTGGCTTCCACACGGATGGACAGGGCGGGTGCCCTTCCCGACGGCCTGGAGCTCAGCTGGTGTGTGTGTGTGTGTCAGGGAGGTTGTGCATGCACGCATCTGAGAGTATGTGTGTGTGCCTGTGTGTAAGTAGATGTGTGTGTATCGGTAATTGAATGTTTGTGTGTGGGTGGGTGTGTATTTGCATGTGCACATGGAGGTGAGTGTATTTATCTGTACGTGTGCAGGTATGTGTGTGTGCATGTTTGTGTATATGTACACACATGTGAGCCTGTGCACCACACATGTTTGTGTGCATGTGCATAGACCTGACTGTGCGTGATTGCATATGTGTAGTATGTGTGCATTTGTACATGTTTATACACATGTATATATGTGTGCATATAACAATGTGTGCGTTCACTCATGTACATGTGTGGTTGTACATGTATGCTGCACACATGTTTGCATGTGTATGTGTATATATATGACAGCACATATGCATGTATTTGCGTGCATGTGCATATGTGAGTGCTTGCACATATAGTGCATTTGTGTACGTGTGCATGTGTGTGAGTGTTTGCACGTATGCATGTGTTTGTGTGGGTGTGTACATGCATGTGACTATGTGTGCACATTCTCAGAGGAGAAAGGAAGGGCTGCCTCACTTGGAGGCACGTCCCTGTAGTTACCTTGCAGGTGAGCCTGCAGCCCGAGCACCTCCCCTAATGAAGCCTCATCCTGGCACTGTCCCCAGGGCCTCTCTCCTGGCACCGTCCCCACCTGGAGACCTGGGGTCTCCCTGCCCAGGGCGGGTCCTCGGAGGGGCCCGCCTGCCTTCTGAGCTGGCTCCTGCAGCCATGCCCTCGCCTCTCCCCTCTGGTACCCGTGATCTCTGGGGCCTGGAGCTCCCGGCACCCCACTCCTGGAGCCCGGACCTCCTTGGGTCACCGTTGCAGAGACGCTGGCTCACAGCGGTCATCTCACCCTCCCAGCTGGGCTGTGAGCTCCCCGGTGACAGAGGTGGCCTCATGCTTCTTGCCCCCCTCCCCGCCCCACTTCATCCGTGGGGAAAACCCTTCGGAAACAGGGACTCACCTGCCTGGCTGAAGACTCGGGCAAAGCTGGATGCAGGGCCTTTCTCCAGACGCTGCCCCATTTGTATTCCATGTGGCTCCAAATGGAGCAGATCCTTTGGTCAGAGGAGAGTCATCCATGCCTCCTCCCCCCCCCCCCCAACGAGGGAGCTGCCGCATGCACTCCCCGTCTGGCCTTTCTAGGATGCGAGTCCTCCCTTCTTGGATGGACCCCAAGTGGGACCCCAGCTCCCCAGGTGAAGCCTGGCAGCAAGGCTCCTTTGAGGCTTTGTGCCCTCTCTCAAGCCTCAGACCTGAATCCACAGGGAGGCCCAGCCCAGATCCAGCAGTTTCCTGGTAAACCAACACCCAGCTCCGGAGCATGTCTGTGGTGGGCTCATTTCACTGTCTGGGGTATTTTCAAGGCCCCTCTATGAGGTCTGTGTGCATCCTTCCTCCTTTCATGTGGCTCAATATGCTTCCATCATTTGCATCCACCACATTCCCCAACCCCCTAGATGGACACGTGGGCTGTTTCACCTTCCAGCAGCAGTGAGCCTGTGTCTGCAGTTCAGTTCAGTTCAGTTACTCAGTCTTGTCCGACTCTTTGAAAACCCATGGACTGCAGCATGCCAGGCTTCCCTGTCCATCACCAACTCCTGGAGCTTATTCAAACTCATGTCCATGGCGTCCGTGTTGCCATCCAGCCATCTCATCCTCTGTTGTCCCCATCTCCTCCTGCCTTCAATCTTTCCCAGCATCAGGGTCTTTTCCAGTGAGTTGGCTCTTCGCATCAGGTGGCCAAAGTATTGGAATTTCAGCTTCAGCATCAGGCCTTCCAATGAATATTCAGGACTGATTTCCTTTAGGATGGACTGGTTGGATCTCCTTGCAGTCCAAGGGACTCTTAAGAGTCTTCTCCAACACCACAGTTCAAAAGCATCAATTCTTTGGCGCTCAGCTTTCTTTATGGTCCAACTCTCACATCCATACATGACCACTGGAAAAACCATAGCCTTGACTAGATGGACCTTTGTTGGCAAAGTGATGTCTCTGCTTTTTAATATGCTGTCTAGCTTCGTCATAACTTTTCTTCCAAGGAGTAAGCGTCTTTTAATTTCATGGCTGCAGTCACCATCTGCAGTGATTTTGGAGCCCAAGAAAATAGTTTCTCACTATTCCCATAGTTTCCCCATCTATTTTCCATGAAGTGATGGGACCAGATGCCATGATCTTAGTTTTCTGAATGTTGAGCTTTAAGCCAACTTTTTCACTCTCCTCTTTCACTCTCATCAGGAGGCTCTTTAGTTCTTCACTTTCTGCCATAAGGGTGGTGTCATCTGCATATCTGAGGTTGTTGATATTTCTCCCAGCAATCTTGATTCCAGCTTGTGCTTCATCGAGCCCAGCGTTTCTCACGATGTACTCTGCATATAAGTTAAATAAGCAGGGTGACAATATACAGCCTTGACGTACTCCTTTCCCGATTTGGAACCAGTCTGCTGTTCCATGTCCAGTTCTAACTGTTGCTTCTTGACCTGCATACAGATTTCTCAGGAGGCAGATCTGGTGGTCTGGTATTCCCATCTCTTTCAGAATTTTCCGCATTTTGTTGTGATCCACAGAGCCAAAGGCTTTGGCATCATCAATAAAGCAGAAGAAGATGTTTTTCTGGAACTCTCTTGCTCTTTCACTGCAGGTTTGTGTTTTGCTATCAATAAAAGTCACAAGGAACACATGTGTCCAGGGGCCTCGGGAACAACACTGACCTCTTAGAGACCCACTCACTCTGTCCCCATCAGCTTCAAAGCTGCTAAACAGGGCACTGGATCTGCAGTTTCCCGCCCACAACGTCTCCAAAGACCCCCCACCAGCGACCTTCCCAGGGAGGCATCGGGGTTGTGCTCTGTGATGCATGACCCGCAGGTGAAGGAAGTGAATTTCCCACCCGACCTCCCTTCTCCTGTGTTCTGGCCGCAGGCTTGCGGGGGAATGCGGTTAAGCAGAGCACCGCTCATTCCAGGGCTGGGGGAGGCCCTCCATCATCGCCGTGACAGATGGAGAGGACCTGAGTTCCCTCCCTGTGTTCTAACAAGGTGCCAGGCTCCACGACGTTTCTCTTATTTGTCAAGGGGAAGAACAATGGGGCCGCGAGTCGCCCACTTCGTGTGGGATGCGGTCCACTCTGTCAGCTTCTGCACAAGCCTTGTTTTTGTTGCCCACGCACATGCCCCAATAAAATATCCATGCGGTGTTACCTCCCTGGCTAGCAGCAGACTCCGGCGGCGCTGCTCGGAGCAGAAAGGGGGGCCTGCCAGATACACAAACACCGCATGGGCACAACATAAATAAGACACCACCGAGACACAGGCAATCAAGACCAGAATTTAGTTTTCATGCCGCTTAAAGGCACAAGTGATGAAGAGCATCGCCTTTCATCGCCCCGGGCGGGGGCCTGTTCTGGACATTACTGTTTGCAATTAACATGATGTTTGGAGTCCCGTGGTGTGTCCCCAGCCCGCTCAAGGACTGGGGTCATGGGAAAGGCAGGCTGCACGTCATCTGTTACTGAACAAGACGGCGATCGGCTCCAGGAGGCTGGAGGAGGGGCCGCACCTCCTTGCTTCAGATCCGTGCTGTGTGCCCGGGACCCCCATCTCCAGCGCCAGGCACACCGAGCTTCTTCCTCCTGCCCAGAGATCTAGAGTGGTTACAAGGCCACTGGCTGGCAGGTCTGGGGGGCTCTGTCCCTGGGGCCCTCCCCCTGACTACTCCCTCCCTGCGCCCTCTGCACTGGCCCCCCCCACCCCCAGACAAAGTCCAGGGCTAGCCCAGGTCAAGACGGAGCAGCTGCATGGAGGCTTCTGTTCCTCTGTCTTTCTCTTGCGGGTGGACCTCACAAATCCATCTCTGCTCTCGTGGCCCCTGAGCCTGGACTCCTCCCACCAAGATTTGCAAGCAGGACTTTTTTAACGAAACAAAGCTGGCATGTGAGAGCAGCCCACTTGGTACTCGTGGCTCAGAGTATATTCTCTGCAAAGGTACCTGGGAGAGCAGAGGACCACATGTTTATTCACCAGTGTGCTCCTGAGCACTTGGCTCTGGGAAGGCATTGAGCTTGCCATCCCAGGCACCTAACAACAAAGTATATACCATCCCAGTCACAGAGGGGCTTGTGGTCCAATGGGAGGGGATTCACTGTGATTGGGGCATGATGGAGAAGGTGAGAACATGAAGGAAAGATGCATAAACTCCAAAGAAAAGAGAAAGAAAGCAGCTGTGTTGGGGATATTTAAGCTGCGTTTTGAGGGATGAATAGGAGTTTGTTAGGTAAAGGCCAAAGCATCTTCAAAGGCTCAGAGGCACAGAGCAGAACAAGAAGTTCATACGTGTGTACATGCATGTGTGTACATGTGTCTGTGTCATGTGTCTCTATGTATGTATGTCTGTTTATATGCATGTCTGCTTGTGTATATGTGTATATGCATGTATGTATGTGCTTATATATGTATGTTTGTGTCTATGTCTCTGTGCATTTATGTGTATATTTGTGTGTGCCTGTGTATGTATATGTGTGTATATGTATCTGTGTGTATATATGTGCATGTGTCTCTGTGTATGCATGTGTATGTGTATATATGTATGCATGTGTAGGTGTGTGTGTGTGTGTGTGTGTGTGCATGCAGGGGACAAAGACCCGGTCGTCCAGATGTCTGTAGCTCATGTTAATTTTACTCGTCCACCTTTGACTGTGATTACATGCAGTTAAAACAGGGCACTGGGGCCTCTGGCAAAAGCCCTGGACTCTGGTCAGCAGGTCAGGAGTGCTGAGTCCTGCCAGGCTGTGGATCAGAGCCTGGATCCTTACTTGAGAAGTGGGCAGACCCCTGGGGCCCTGGAGTACCTTGCACCTCTGGGGTCTTACAGGAAGTTCATAGACTTTCTCCAGCACACTCTGGTTATACTGGTCTTGTCATAAAGTTAACAAGAACAGGGAGAGGATGAAAAGAACTTTGATTTATTTTACTTTATTTTTTTCCCAGTTTGTAAAATCATGCCCTCTGAGAGCACATAGCCTCCAGGCTTGAGCACAAAATTTAAAAACATTCAGTTAAAAAACTCTCAGCGGGCTTTCCCGGGGCTGGGTGAGCAGCGCTGCCCCAGAGGCGGCCCCATCGGGGCCGGGGGAAACCAGGGCTGGCGAGGTGGGCCTGCCTGTCTGCATGGGGACCACGGAGTCCACGGGGCCGGATGTGTGAGTGCTCAGGTGCCAGAGCTGTGATGCTCAGCCAGGCAAGGCAGCCGACTTGGGTCAGAGCTGATTGGAGGCAGGCAGACGGTCAGGCTCCACAGGCAGGGGTTTGTAAACAGACAGGCAGACGAAGTTTTCTGTGAATCGTATGAAGGTCTGGGCATGCCTCCTCCTCCAGGAAAGCCTCCTGGCAGCTTCGTCTGTCTTGTCTGCTCTCCTGGCACTGGGCCAGGTCAGGAGCAGACGGGACATCACCCAGGTGGCTGTAGTTTCAGTCCTGATGAGCAGGATTCCCCGGAGATGAAGCTCTGCTGCTCCGCAGAGGACTTCTTGCTTCTTGATCCTCATCCAAGTTCTCTTTGACAGCTGGTCCCCTTTATTCTGGTGACTTCCTTGCTATGGTTGAAATAGGACCCCGCCCTAAATTCAAACATCCCGTCCTGAGCTCCAGAACCTCCAAATGTGGCCTTACTTGGGTACAGGGTCCTTGCGGATGTCAGTGGAGGTGAGATCAACAGGCTGGGCCCCAAACCAGCATGACCAGTGTCCTTCTGAAAAGGAGAAATCCAGACATGGAGACATGTGCCCCGGGGAGAGAGCCATGGGCCGAGGCTACAATACCAATGGAGATTCGAGAGGTGCTTCTTCAGGCCAGAGGGTGCCAGGGACAGCACCCACGCCCCTGAAGCTTGGGTTGGGGCCCAGAGCTGGCTCTCCTCATGGCCTCAGAAGGGGCGAATCCTGACAACACCTTGGTCTCAGGCCTCCAGTGCAGTGAGAGTCAGTTTAGGTGGTTGAAGCCATCCAGTCTAGTGCTTTGTTAGGCCAGACCCAGGAAACTAACACAGCTCTGTCGTCATCAAAAGAGCAGGCCACTCCTGTGCAGCAGGAGATTTCCAGCAGAAAAGAAATCACTTAGTTTCCGCAGAGAACACAGAGGCTGACATGTGCGGGAAACGCCAGGCTCCTCTGTCCTTCACTATCTCCTGGCGTTTGCTCAGATTCATTTTCATTGAGTTGGTGATGCCATCCAACCATTGTATCCTCCATTGTCCCTTTCTCTTCCTGCCTTCAATCTTTCTCAGCATCAGGGTCTTTTCCAATGAGTTAGTTCTTCGCATCAGATGGCCAAAGTATTGAAACTTCAGCTTCAGTATCAGTCCTTCCAATGAGCACCCAGGACTGATTTCCTTTAGGATGGACTGGTTGGATCTGCTTGCAGCGCAAGGGACTCTCAAGAGTCTTCTCCAACCCCACAGTTCAAAAGCATCAATTCTTCAGCAGTCAGCCTTCTTTATAGTCCAACTCTCACATCCATACATGACTACTGGAAAAACCATAGCCTTGACTAGATGGACCTTTGTTGGCAAAGTGATGTCTTTGCTTTTTAATATGCTATCTAGTCCTTGAAAGTTCCTGGTTCTGGAAAGTGGGCTCCACAGTCCTTCTCGTGGATACCAGGATGACCTTCCACCTGGACCTGACTCTGTCCTGCTGTGAACGCATTGGAAGCACTCAGGACAATCTGGTGACATGCCAGCTCCTGAGCCTGGAATTCATACTCCCCAGGATCCAGCTCCCGCTTTCTTCTCCACCTCCTTCTGTGTTCCATATCTGGCCCTGTTGGAGTGCAGGAAGGCCTTTTCCTAAATTCAAGGCAAATTCTGCAGGAGAGAGGGAGTTGATGGTCAACCCAGCAGCTATATTTCAGCTACAGCAGCTGGAGGGTGTGCTTGGGTTTTAGTCAGAACCAAGATTCCTATTGCTTTGCCCTTGACTCGATTCACCCTCTCAGAGCAGTGGGCCTGATGCTGATGCCATCACAAGGAAAGAGAAGAGAGAGAGGACAAACCCGTGGGGACCCAGGTCTGTAACCCCCGAGCCTCACCCAAAGGTGGGGGCGCTGGAGGGGTTGCTCCAGCAGCTCCTGGACACTTGAGGATGAGAAAGACGGTCCCCTGATGTTGACTCAGTGTCTTATTTTCTCCGTCCTTTGGGCTGATTGTGGTCCACCTGGGGGGGTGTGTCCTTTCATCTGGGGAGACCCACAGTCCCCTCGGGGGGTTTGCTCATGTTCTCAGGGGTCTCTCCCCTAACATCTCGCTCTGTCGAGAGTCTTCTCATGGTCCCTGGAAGGATGTCTGCGTCCAGAAGGCTTGGATGGACCAGAATCCCATTTTGATGAAAGTGTGTCTCTGTCTCTGAGGTGTACTGCCCATTCTGTTTGCCTTCATTCTATTGATGAGTCATAGCGTTAATTCATCAGTTTAAGTTAGCAGCAGTTATGCAGTGGCTCAGGCTTCCCTAGTGTCTTGGCAGTTAAGAATTCGCCTGCCATACAGGAGACGTGAATTCTATCCCTGGGTCAGGAAGATACCCTTGAGAAGGAAATGGCAACCCACTCCAGAATTCTTGTTTGGGAAATCGAATGGACTGAGAAGCCTGGTGGGCTATATAGTCCATGGGGTTACGAAAAAGTGGGGTAAGAGTGACCAAACAGCAATGCAGTGGCTCAAATGTCACAAGTAGTAGAGCGTCAATGACTTAAAAATGTAGCCAAGTAAAATACTACCTCCCACTGCTCAAGACTTAGGAGAAAATTTAAGTACAAACATTAAATAGCCTTTCAACATTAAGCCCAGACTTCGCATGTTCAAATACACACAAAAAATGAACGCTTGAATCCCTTCGCCTTTCAGTTCTCATCTCGCTGAGAGCGCTCTCATGCCGTGACCCAGCAGTTTGCCTTCCTCATCCGCCAGGCCTGACCTGGCTCTCCCTGCAAACACCGGCTCCCCAGGACCATTTGATCAGAGCTAACCCCAGTCAGATGACACCACCCTTATGGCAGAAAGTGGAGAGGAACTAAGAGTCTCTTGATGAAGGTGAAAGAGGAGAGTGAAAAAGCTCAACATTCAAAAAACTAAGATCATGGCGTCCAGTCTCATCACTTTGTGCAAACAGATGGGGAAAAATGGAAACAGTGACAGACTTTATTTTCTTGGGCTCCAAAATCACTGGATGGTGACTGCAGCCATGAAATTAAAAGAAGCTCGCTCCTTGGAAGAAAAGCTATGGCAAACCTAGACAGCATATTAAAAAGCAGAGACATTACTTTGCCAACAAAGTGCCTATAGTCAAAGCTATGGTTTTTCCAGTGGTCATGTAAGGATGTGAGAGTTGGACCATTAAGAGCGCTGAGTGCAGAAGAATTGATGCTTTTGAACTGTGGTTGGGGAAGACTCTTGAGAGTCCCTTGGACACCAAGGAGACCAAACCAGTCAATGATGAAGGAAATCAACCCTGAATATTCGTTGGAAGGACTGATGCTGAAGCTGAAGCTCCAATACTCTGGTCACCTGATGTGAAGAGCTGACTCATTCGAAAAGACCCTGATGCTGGGAAAGATTGAAGGCGGGAGGAGAAGGGGACGACAGAGGAAGAGGTGGTTGGATGGCATCACCAACTCCATGGACATGAGTTTGAGCAAGCTCTGGGAGCTGGTGAAAGATAGGGAGGCCTGGCGTGCTGCAGTCCATGGGGCCACAGAGTCGGACACGACTGCGACTGAACAAGAACGATCTCAGCCACTCTGTCCCAGTCCTTCATTGTCAAGCATGCAGCGTTAGCCCTGAACTCACAGAGCTGATAAACCTCTGCACAGGTCACCAGTCTCTAGGGCAGTTTTCCCGGGAAAGTGGTGGTCCTAGAACGGGGTGTTTGGGCCAGCTGAGGGCCAGGCTATTGTGGCTCAGTGGTCAGGGTCACATGAGAGCCGGGGTTAGACAGGGGCCATGGAGGGAGGTAGACAGGGGCCATGGAGGGAGAGGGATTCTGCCCACAGCCTGGTCTGCCGCCACCCAGTGGGTCCAGTTATCGGGCCCATGCACCTGGAATAATTTTCCTGCAAGAAGGTAATGTGGACTGAAAAAAAAAAAAGGAAAAATGAGCAACCTACAAGTGGAAAATTATTATCCAGCAGAACTTCTGAGGACTTAAGCTTGGGACACAGCCTCTCGGATCACTCTGAGAATCTGCTGTGAACAGGTAAGGGAGGAGCTGGGATATACAGGGGGATTTTACAACAAAAGCCAGGTATTTGAAAGTCAGAAGGTTACTGGGGAGTCTGCCCTGGTGCTCCAGCGGTTAAGACTCTGTGCTCTCAAATCAGAGGGCACAGGTTTGATTCCTGGTCAGGGAAGTAAGATCTCACATGCTGCAATGCACAGCCTTAAAAAAAGGTTACTGTTAATTAAAAAACCCAGACATCTCAAGTTAGGGAATTTAGTGCTTTTCTACGTATGGGAAGATGCAAGAGTCTGGGCCTCTTGAAGTCACTCCTTCCACGTGCAGCTCAGCTGTCTGGGGCCAGCACCCTTCACTTTCCCCTCCAGGCAGAGGACCGTGGGAACCCCTCAGGGCTCCCCGTCGCGCCCCCAGCTGAGCGGCCGTGGCGTCTTTTGTTTACTGATGCGACAGGTGACATTTTTCATGCATGTGGAATTCTCCAGGCAAGAATACTGGACGGGGTTGCCATTCCCTTCTCCAGGGGATCTTCCTGACCCAGGGATCGAACCCGGGTCTCCTGCCTTGCAGGTGGATTCTGAGCTACCAGGACTGCTTGCCCTCTGAGCCACCAGGGAAGCCCAGTTATGACCGTGAGTCACTAGCTCGTAGGGGAGGGGGCGGAACTCACTTGGGTAAAACCCTGCCTCGCGGCCTCCTGAGTCACCGCTCGTGACCTGAGTTGTCTCTTCTCGTCCCACTTGGATAAAACACACACTTGCCATTCCCATTGAGCCCGTGTCCCGGGCACCTGCTCTCCCCACTCTTCCTAGGAACAGGCTTGGCTGCTGGGACCCACACGGCCTTGGCAGCTGCCTCTTGCTTGGGACTTGCCGGGGCCTCTGACACAGTCCACCCCCCGAGGGTCTCCACCCACAAGTCCCCATCATCAGATTTCTGAGCGGACCCTGACTCAGATGTCACTGAAGCCAAGGTGCCCTGGAGCCTGCACACCCATGTGTGGGCCATGAGCTCTTTCGGAGGCTGTCTGTCCTCCGCTTTGAGCAGCCGGGGCCTCGAGCGAAAGAACCTCTCAGACAACAGCAGAACCCCCTCTGGCTGCCACATCTTGCTGCTACGCTGACAGAGATGCTTCCATGAGCCCCCGCCCGGGCCCTGGAATCCCGAGCGGTCATGTTTCTAACCTGCGGGCAGCGTCCCTTTGTCCTTCTCTTGCAGGAGCCACAGTGAGGGGTCAGGAACCATTCTCGCTCTGCACTTGCTTTTGATCTGGGGGCTCAGAATTTGTTCTCCTTGCCTCCTCCGGATTCCACTGCCCGGTTCTCCAATGACAGATGCTCATTAAGGACCCAGGAGTCTGGGCAGAGTGTCCAGGCTTCTGCAGGGCTTGCTCTCCTTCCCCTGGCTGGGCTGGGAGCCACGTGTACCCCAAGACTGGTCTTTGCCCCTTTGGGAGGGGACTTGTGGGCTGCTGCCTACCCCATGCTCCCTGGGCCTGGGTACCTGGATCACGCCACACCTGCAGCCCATGCATGGAGCAACGGTGTCACCTGAACCCCCTCCACTCCCTCGTTTGAGGTGACACATTGCTTGTCACAGCGGTCCCCGCATCTGAAGATGGTTCTCCTGAGCCCTGGATTGAGAGGCTTAATTTCATGGCTGTTGTTCTCTGGATGGTGGGGGGTCATCCCTCGGGTCTGTCCTTCAAGCTTCCTCATCTTATTCTCTGTTGATTTCTTGCATCAGAGAAAGCATATCAGCCCTACTTGCAACAAAATGCTGCCCCTTCTTCTGTTCCATCTCTGAGACATGAACGTGATGTATCTGCTCCATACTGTCAGGCTTTCCTTTCAGGTGGGGCCCCTCTCTTCCTTTAGAACCTGACTCTCACCCCACTCTGAGTGCACACCTTCCTCTGCTCACCTGCACACTTTGGCGTCCGTGGTTTGCTCCCGAGCCTCTTCCTGGTTCGGAGGCATCAGATCGGTGAGTTGGGGGGTTTGGACCAGCTGTAAGTTACATCCTTAACACAACAGCCCCCGGCCCACAGTTCCTCTTAACCCCACTCACGGACGCACCCACCGGGCTTTCACAGCTACAATCCAGAGCCTCTCTGACACGGGGCTCTGTGGGTCTGGTAAGAAACCATCCATCCCCTCTTTGGCTTCAGATGTTTTCCAAAATAAGGTGAGGAGGGGTGGGATTTGGGCAGGTACCTTGGATCCCTTCATGCCTGTCCTTCCAGCCTGGACTCCAGCCTCGCTCATGCCTTTGAACTGTGGTGTTGGACAAGACTCTTGAGAGTCCCTTGGACTGCAAGGAAATCCAACCAGTCCATCCTAAAGGAGATCAACCCTGAATATTCATTGGAAGGACTGATGCTAAAGCTGAAGCGCCAATGTTTTGGCCACCTGGTGCAAAGAACTGACTCCTTGGTGGAGACCCTGATGCTGGGAACGATTGAAGGCAGAAGGAGGAGAAGGGTATGACAGAGGGTGAGATGGTGGGATGGCATCACCGACTCGATGGACGTGAGTTTGAGCAAGTTCTGGGAGTTGGTGATGGACAGGGAAGCCTGGCGTGCTGCAGTCCATGGGGTCACAAAGGGTCAGACACGACTGAGCGACTGAACTGACTGAACCCAGCACCGCACGGCCACCATTGCATCCACCATTGTGTCTCCAGGTCTAGAAGGCCAGGTCCATCTGAGATGCCTTTCTCACTCATCTAATCTCTAATGCAGACGATTCAGCTACACAGGCTGTGGCGATGCCGTGTCTGTGCAGGTGAGGGTCAGTCATTGAGGCTGGGAGACGGGGGCACGCCGCAGCCAGTGTGGTGGAGCGGCTCCAGTCGTGTCCGGTCCCCTCCCTCCAGCCCAGCACACGAGACTCACGGCTGACCCTTAGCTCCTTTGGTTTCTCAATGCCAGTCTAGTTATCAAGGGTCAAGACCAAGGTTTCCTGGAAAATGTACAGAGTGTATGGGTTTGGGGGGTATACATAACTGAGCATCTTTCTCCTGATAAAACCTAAGCCAACTGAGGGATAATCCAGGGGTGCTCTTTCTAGAGTCTCACCAGTGGGGGGGGGGCCTGCCACGGTGAGCAGAGCGCAGGCCAGAGAGGGGACAGAGGACTGTCGCTGGGAGGATCTGGGCAGCGAGCGGGCTGGCCCCACGGAGCACGGCTTTGCACCTGGGCCTGCCCTTGGGAGCATGTCTGACGGGGCGTCCAGACACCTGCACCCCACCCACTGGGCAGGTCCTTATCCTGGCAGAGAGGGCTGGGAGGCAGGCTTCTGAGGGATGCTGGTGGAAGCTTCCTGTGGAAATGTAAAGGTTCTCCACAAGCAGATTCCACCCTGGGGTCCAAGGAACCCTCAAGTGTGTTCGAAGCTTTGAGCCACCCTTCTCCCCCCCACGATCCCCTGGTTCCCGAAGGAGGCACAGTCATCACTCCCCCAGACTCCTTCTCATTTTATCTCCTCCATCCCTCACCATCATCCCCAGTCAACAATCCCTCCTGTCAGGGCCTTCTTCCAATGAAGAGTCAGAGTGAGAAGACGTCTACATCATTTGATGTGTTTGGTCAAGCCAATGGTTTGGGTCCAGTTTTGAGGAGCTATGGAGAATTAGGGCAGTTCTATCCAGGGCTCCCTTATGAAGAGGTGGAGGTGGGTAGGGCAGCCTGGTGAGAGGCTGGGAGAGGCTCTTTGATGAATCTGCTCCCCTTCAGCCTCAGGTTAAGAGAAAACCAAAGTGTGTGTTCTGCCTTCCCCAGTGGGGTGATGCACCCTTGATCTATCAAATACCAAAGTATTTTCAACAGGGAGTCTGTGCTGTCTCTGAGATACCAAAGGTATGGCCATCAATTCTCTAAGCAAAAATTAACTGAAGGAATAACAAAAACAGTGAGATCCACAAAGATGATGATGGTGGTGATGGTGTTGATGATGGTGGTGGTGGTGATGGTGGTGTTGATGGTGGTGATGATGATGGTGGTGGTGATGGTGGTGATGATGGTGGTGATGACAGTGGTGGTGATGGTGATGGTGATGGTGGTGATGGTGATGGTGGTGATGACAGTGATGGTGACGGTGGTGATGGTGACTGTGGTGATGATGGTGGTGATGGTGGTGATGATAGTGGTGGTGCTGATGGTGGTGATGGTGGTGATGATGGTGGTGATGACAGTGGTGGTGATGGTGATGGTGGTGATGGTGGTGATGGTGGTGGTGGTGATGGTGGTGATGACAGTGATGGTGACGGTGGTGATGGTGACTGTGGTGATGATGGTGGTGATGGTGGTGATGATAGTGGTGGTGCTGATGGTGGTGATGGTGATGGTGGTGGTGATGGTGGTGATGATGGTGGTGATGACAGTGGTGGTGATGGTGATGGTGGTGATGGTGGTGATGGTGGTGATGGTGGTGGTGGTGATGGTGGTGATGACAGTGATGGTGACGGTGGTGATGGTGACTGTGGTGATGATGGTGGTGATGGTGGTGATGATAGTGGTGGTGCTGATGGTGGTGATGGTGATGGTGGTGATGACAGGGATGGTGATGGTGGTGATGGTGGTGATGATGATGGTGGTGGTGACAATGACCGCATTGCATGCTCACCACATATCAAGCACTAGGCTCACTCAACTCCATTGCCCTGAAGACTCAGGACTCACACAGTCAGAGGCACCAGGCAGTGGTCAGGGATAAGCGGCAGCAGGACCAGCACTGGAATCTTGTCCATGCAGTCCTAATGCAGGACTCTTCACATTGCACCCCCAAGGAGGTGGATTTTTGAGACAAGTTTTCTGGATTCCTCCCTAGTTCACATCTAGGAGCTCCCCGCTTGCCTTTTTGTGAATCATTTATGAATAACCAGCAGGGCGCCTCACTGCAAACTCCCTGCCACTTGGGCTCTTCCCAGGGCTGTAGGTGCTGCCTCCCAAGGTGCTACAAACAAACAATTATCACAGTCTTAGCACATATTGCACTCAAAATTGCTTGTCAGACTTGGGAATTTCACTTTTCTCTTTTGCAAGATCATTTCAATATGCACTGCAATTGGGTTCTGCTCTGGTTTGTAGCATCACTGAGATGTAATAAGGTTAGTAATGATTTCTGAAAACATTTGTCATTGAGACTTTTGAAAGAAGCACTGCATTTAGGGGAAATAAAAAGGTTGAAATGCATATCATAGATTTGCAGTCAGAGCTGGCCGAGGGCTGAGTGCTGAGTTTCAGGCCTGGAGGGCAGACATTCTCCATGTCCAGGCTCTCCAGGACCTATCACTTGTGGGAAGCCCTCAGCTTCTTCTTGGGGGCATGTCTTGAGTTCATCAGGGAGCCTGAGCTGGAGATGCAGGGCTGAGTGGAAGGTGTGGACTGGGAGAAAGGATGTTGGCTTTTAGGGCACAAATCTCACCTCCCTTGTTGGCTAAATGTGTGATTTTGGACCTTGGCTTCATCTCATAAGATGGGGAAATGGAACACAACCCCTGGGTTATTGCGAGCATTTGAAGAGAAAGGGATCTAAGAATTCTGGCTGTTCTGAGATGAGGATCCCCTTCCGGGTGAGCTCAGACCCTCTCTAGGTCAGGACCTCCCCAGAGCCTCAGTCCTCACTCAGGTCATGCTCAGGTTAACCCCACACTTGGCCCCCCAAAGAGGTATAGGTGAGGCTCTAGCAATCCAGTGTCTCTGAAAAATGCTAGGGGGCTGATGCAAGAAGAGAAAAATCACCATTTCCCCCAAAGATTCATTTACTCATTAATAGCTAAATTTTATATTCAGAAAACCTAAGCTTGCATCTTGGCTCATTACTTTCTTATTGGTTTGAACTCTATGAAATTGTTATTTGTATAGGTCCCAAAATAGATTAATATTGGCAGTTTCAGATAGTTCAAGTTAGTAGCCCTCTGGTTTTAGCCAAATCAGCCAGCTTTTCAACGGTCCAATGTCTGTTCAGCATACATTCCTGGGGACCACAGCAGACGGCTGTGAAAACCAGCCCAAGGGCGGGCTCCTTGCCTGCCTTGCGATGGGTGCATACTTGCTGAATCTGAGCCCTCGCACTCACATGTGAGGCCGTGTGCTGAGTGGATCATAGTGGAAGGAGTTTCCTTCCATGGGAAAGAATAACTAAGAATTGTCAACAAGCCAACATCACCCTTTTGACTGAAAATTGAAAAAAAAGAAAAAAGGCGAAGAACCTGGCTTTCCAGCCTGGCAGATGGTTTTCCTTCTCTCACGGGACAGCTCGCCTGAACAGGTGTGAGACCACGACTTGCGCCGGAGAAGAGGCTGGCTCTTACTGGTCTCTGGGTCTGGACGGGCTGGGGCGAAACTGCTTCCGTTTTGAAAGACAAGGAAAGATACCTCGTGGGGGTGGATTTTCCCCTGGCTGGGCTCCACCTGCCAGTAAGGACAGCTCCTTCCGTCCGTGACCCCTGCCGAGCAGACCGGTGTGGATGCTCGCCTCAGGCTCGCCTAGTATGGGTGGTCAGAGCGTGGGCTCCCGTTAAACTGGACATCAGGGAAATCTCCTGGGCCACCAACACCAGAGCTTCTGAAAAGAGAGAAGGCCCCACAGCACGTGGGAGGTAAGCTTCCGTTGCTGTTTCCAGACTGAAGTTTAATACTCTACATCCATGGCTGTTTAGGGTCAGCTTTTCCAAACTGGCCCTTTGCTCCAGCCGCTTGAGGTCAAGTTTGATCTCATCTGTCACCTGACCATGCACCTTCACCGTTTCCCTGGCAGGTTGGATCAGAATGCAATGTGTGAGCCATGGACTCTTCATCCATTTAATTCTCTGTTCATGTAAAATATTTAGTAAGCGCAATTTCAGACGTTATTAAGAACTTTCCACCGCAGGCTGGGGCTCTGTTTACCTCTCTGTGCCTTTGGATGTGATTGCGTTATTGGGTTGAAGTCACCCAGTTACCCACTTTCCACATCTGTACAGAGATGTCGGTGCATCTGGTGGTTGATCTTGCCCATCCCAGAGTTAGAACATTCCAGGATTTAATGAGGAATCAAGTGTCACTTTATTTTCCCCCGTTTTATGACAATACTCAAACCTGCTTCAGTGTTCCATAAACATAAAGGTCTGTCATTATTAAAAGCACTTTAATTATAGCAACAATTGCCTGTTTATTACACTGTGATTGCATGCAAGCCACCATCACACCTCCCCCTTGTGTGTCTCAGAATCTGCTGTCTGACTGCATGGCTGTTGGGTTCCATTTGAATTCAGCTTTCCAAGGAAACCTCTTTTCCTGAGTCTCGTTTTCCCTCTGAGTGAAGACTGTTTCATAAACCATCAGGGGACCAGGCACCTGTGAGCATCTTTGGATGAGGGGATGCCTTCGAGCTGCGGCCTGGACCACTTCTGTCTGCAGATGTGACTTCCGTTCCTCCCCTACGAAGCGCCGCTCCTGGCTGATGCTGCCCACTGAGCCACCTACTCCAGTGTCTGAGCAGAAATGATGTGACGTCCGGCACAGAGGCACTCCCTTCTGATGAAATAATGCCAAAGCTGGGTTTCTGAGCCCCACTCTAAAGGATGCAGCGCCATCTGCACCTGCCCTCAGCGTTTGAGTCTTCCTTGACCGTCACATGCTGATATGTCTGCGGAAGCCGAGGATGGCGGGGCCGGACACACACGCCCCACGGGAGGGCACACAGCACATGTGTGTGTGTGCACCTACCGTCTTCCATGTGCAGGAAGGCGGGAGGGCTGTCTCCAGAAAGAGGGGGCAGAGCCAGAACTGGGGGCTGGAGCACGGTGGAGCCCACGCCAGTGAAAGGGCATCCAGGGATCTGAGCTGGACTGCAGGGGAAGGCGCTGAGGAGTCCACGCTGGCAGAGAGTGGGTGCTGGGCCAGGAGCCCAAACGTGTCTCCCCGCCCATCACCCTGAGTGAGGGGGCTTCACCTGTCATTCCAGAAGCTTGAAGGTTCCCTTAACTTCTCAGGTCTCTTGACTCACCCGCAGGACACCCCTCCTCGCCTCCCCGGGTGGGAATGCAGAGTGTTGTCAGCGGCAGGCCTTGGGGCTGACTCACCTGGGCAGGGCGTGGACATCTGAGCTGAGCAAGGCATGTTCCTGCAACTCCAAGCAGAGTGGCCCCTGGGTTGCAGCAGGGCCTGTGAGAGCAGGGGCTGGGGCAAAGCGGCAGCTCTCTGGCGGGTCCCCGGTCGGTCTTTCCCGCGCCCTCCACCACAGCCTCCCTCTCACCACCCTTGGCTGTGAGCACAGATGCCGCACGTTCCTGGTGGCCTGACCTGGGCTCTGCTGGCCCCTCCTCCCCCCGGCTTCACAGCCCTGGAGCCCTGGTCTCTCCTTGTCCCAACCCTTCAGAGTGGCTGTGATGACACTTCCCGGCCTGTAGCCCCTCAAACTGCCTGCAGAAATGAGGGAGAGAAATGAGGCTGCATCTGTACTGAACTAATCATTCCGTCTCGCTCCTGCTGTTGGAAGGGCAAAGGGCAGGCTGTCGGAAAGCCTGGACGGAGTCCTGGCTGGAATCTCGGCGAGATCCAGCATCTGTGGATGTGAGAGTCCTCCTCTGTCATCCGTGGTCACTAGCAACACCTTCGATGTCAACTAGCACGGCTGTGGGCGTCAATGAGCCAGCGTGCGAAAGCTCTTTGCATAAAGAGCTGACATCTGATTTCACATCCCCACTTGAGACCACAAGCTGCCGCCTCCTGTGTGAGATGCCTCTCGTCCTTGCCCCGCTGTCCTGGTGTCCAGCCCCAGGCCTGCAGGCCACGCCTCCACGTGCTGTGCGCTGCTGCCGCTGGCAATGCTGTCGGTGCCCTGAGGATGGGTGTGCCCTGAGGATGGGGTGCCCTGAGGATGGTGTGCCCTGGTCTTTGTGGAGCTGCCCCACACACAGGCCTGGGGGTGTCCCCACCGCCCCCGGGAGCAGCGCTGCCTGGGACAGCCTGGTGTGGATGGAGAGAGTGCAGGCCCTCGGGCTACATGCAGGGGTGGAATCCAGGGACCCCACCGTGAGCCTCCCTGCCCCTCAGCAGTAAACAGACAAGCCTGGAGGAGGCTTGCCTCTGCAGCCTGGTGGGATTCTGGATGCGCCCGCGCAGACCCTGCACATTACAGGCATCACCCTGTGAGAATGTCCATCGCCACCTGGGGAATCCACATCCTGGATAGCATATCCACCTGCATTCAGCCAGGATGGGCAGGCCAGGTGCTCTGGGCTGTCACCCCCCGACACCCTCTCCCAGCCCCAGGCAGGAACGATCCTGCCTTCCACCTGCCATCCCAGAACCCCGACGTGTCTGCATTTAACCCCGACGTGCTTGCCTGGAGTGTCAGAACCAGAGTTGGAGGGCGGATGCCGCTGTCGACAAGCGTGACTCGTGGGACCCTTAAGTCAGCGGCTTCAGCCTGAGCCTGAGCCTGTGTTCTAAGTGGGAATCGAAGCCTGGGGGGCGCGGGCTGAAGTGGCACAGCCAGGGGCTGACGGGAATGGCTCTGGACTCAGGGACTGCGTGAGTTCAGATCCAACAGTCTCAGCTCCCGGACCCACCCAAGGACGGCATGCCCCAGAACAACCGCCCGCCGCTGGGCCCGCATCAGCTCCAGGTGACCCTCGATCCTGCAGCCACCGGCAGGCTGACACCGGGCCCAGGCCCCCGCCCCCCCGTGGCCATGGAAACACTGACCCACGGGCCACGACCAGCCCCAGGGCCCTTTGCTCCACAGCCAAACACCCCAGAACCCACCTCTGCCCGCGGTAAGCCAACATCAGCCTCAGGGACCCCGGTTCTCTGTAGCCAGCGACCCTGTGACCCAGGCATGCTCATCAGTAGCCAGGAGCCCCTGCACAAGGCAGGGCTTGGCGACCCACTGGACCGGGGGTCGACTGTGTCTACCAGGGGCCCCACAGTGGTTCAGCCCACCTTGCAGAAGGACTCACACAGCCCACCCAGAGGGCGCCTCCAAAGCCCTCGAGGGACCCTAGGCGAGTGTGCTTCCGCGCCTCATGGGATGTCTCCTACGTAAAGCCACCTTTCTGAGGCTGAGAGATCTAACCAGCTGACCAAATACATAGAAATGAAAATGGTGAGCTAGGCAAAATGCAACAACAGAGGAACAAACGAAGGAACCAGATAAAACTCGAGAAAAAGAACTGAGTGGAGATAAGCAATCTATCTGATAGAATGTTCAAGGTAATGATCGGTAAAGATGCTTCCAGAGCTCAAAGAACGAAGAATGCAGCAAGAAGGTTAACAAAGAGTTAGAATATAGAGAGAAGAATCAAACAGAGCTGAAGAATCCAACGTAAAATAAATGAAATAAAAATATCCTAGAGGGAGTCAGCAGTAGGTCAGATGATACAGAGAAACAAGTTGGTGAACTAGGAGACAGAGTTGTGGAAGTAAGAAGAACAGAAAAAAGAATTTAAAAAATGAGGACAGTTTAAGCAACTTCTGAAATGACATCAAGTTGCACAGACATTCACATTACAGGAGTTCCAGAAGGAGAAGAGAGCGAGACAGAGGCAGGGAACACATGTCAAGATGTCAAGGTGAAAACTCCCCTAACCTGGGAAAGGAGACACACTTCCAGGTCTAGGAAGGACAGAGTCCAAACCAGATGAGCCCAAAGAGGCCAACATCAGGACAGATTATAATTAAAGTGGCAAAAATCAAAGACAAAGAGGAGATATGAAGACCAAGCAGTCACATACAGGGCCATCCCCATAAAGCTATGGACTGACTTCTCAGCAGAAACTTTGCAGGCCCTCAGGGAGTGGCGCGCTATATCTGAAGTGATGAAAGGAAAATCCTGATCACCAAGAATACTCCGTCCAGCAAGGCTCATGTTCATATTCGAAGAAGAAACCGAAAGTTTTGCAGAGAAGCAAAGGCTAAAAGTTGAGCTCCAGTTTTACAGGAAATGTTAAAAGAACTTCTCTTAGTAAAAAAAGAAAAGGCCACAATTAGAGAAATAAAATGTACAAAAGGAAAAAGTCTCATTGGTAAAGGTAAGTATACAATAAAGGCAGCAGATAAGTTACTGATGAAACTAGTATAAAGGCTAAAAGACAAAGTAGTTAAATTGGCTACATCAGCAACAGTAGTTAGGGATACAGAAAAGAGAAAAGTGTAAAACAGGATGTCAGCAACAGCACAGGTGAGCAGGGGTTAAATATGGAAGATTGTTAAAATGCCTATTTTTCAACAATGTTTCTTTAACGACCCACTGAATTCACAATGATAACAGTAATATTAACATCTACTACCATCTAAGAGGTACTTTAACCATAGTCCAAGCACATAGGTGAAGAGAATATATTCAATATTCACAATAATCTTATAAGATAAATATTTCTATAACCATTTCAGAGATGAACAAACTAAACTAAGAATGGCAAACAATTTGCCCAAGACAATATTCGTAGTATGGGGTACAGCTAGGAGTTAAACTCAGGTCTTTTAATACTCTTTTCAATACATTCCATCACCTGCCATGCAAAGTAATTTCATTCTCAGCCTGAACCTGGCATTTCTAGGAAAAATAAATGCTCTGCAGTGAAAGTTTGTTCATTCTAAGGCCAAAACATTTATTTCAATCATTTTGTTTACGTGAAGCTATCTTTACTTGGCTCCAGATAGATAATCACAGTTGTAGAAGTTCAAAATGCATTTGAACTCAAGAGATCAGCAACTTAAAATAATCAAGGGCTTTTGCCAGCATACCGTGCCTGCGAGGACACCTCGGTCAGTGTCCACGCCCCTGCGGCAGGCCACCGCCGACCCAGGCCTCGCCGGAGCCTCCCGGCCACTCCCGTAAAGTCGGGCTCAGTCTCTTGTGGGGTCGCTGCTCCTCTCTCCAGGTCCTGTTGTGCACAAGGTTTTGCTCGTGCCCTCCGAGAATCCCTGCTTCCCCAGTCCTGTGGAAGTTCTGTAATCAAACCCCACCGGCCTTCAGAGTCAGATTCCCTGGGGATGCTCAGTCCCTTGGCCGGATCTCCCAGGTTGGAAACTCTGTTGAGGAGCCTATAACTTTCCTAGTGGTGTGAGAACTTCTTCGGTATAATTGTTCTCGAGATAAGGGAAACAAAAGCAAAAATAAACAAATGGTGTTCTATCAAGCCAACAAGCTTTTGCTCAGCTATGGAAGCTATCAGCAAAACAGAAAGACTGCTGACTGGGAGAGCATCTTTTCAAACGAAGCATCCATCAAGGGGTTAACATCTAAAACGAAAAAAGAACTCAAACAACTTAACATCAAAAACACCAACCCAATTAGAGAGTGGGCAGAGTGTCTGAATAGACATTTCTCCAAAGAAGACATACAGATGGCCAACGGGCATATCTGAGGCTCGACACTGCTAATCGTCAGAGAAATGCAAATCAAAAGCACAATGAGATCTCCCCTCACACCCGTCAGCACGACTATCATCAAAAGGACTGTAAATAGCAAGTGTGGTGAGCATGTGGAGAGAGGGGAACCCTTGTGTCCTGCAAACTGATGCAGACACTATGGAAAACATATGGGGATATCACAAAGACTTAAAAACAGAACCACCAAATGGCCCAGCAATCCTACTTCTGGTTATTTATCCAAAGAAAATAGAAGCACTCATTTGAAAAGATGCATGCACCTCTGTGTGCGTTGCAGCATTATTTACAATAGCCAAGAGGTGGAAGCAGCGTAAGTGCCCATGGATAGGTGAACAGATAAAGAAGATATAGTGTCTGTGTATATATACAGCACAATTTTACTCAGCCTTAAGCCCTGCCATTTGTGACAACATGGATGGGCCTAGAGGGTATTATGCTAAGTGAAATAAATCAGACAAACACAAATACTGCAGGGTTTCACTGATATGTGGAATCTAAAAACCAAAACAAGCCAAGGAAACTAAAACAAAAATGGAGCCAGGTATAGAGGGAAAGCACACAGGTGGTTGCCAGTGGGAAGGGGGTAAGGGGAGGAGAGAAGGAGTTGAGGGACATCATGAAGTCCAAGCTTTCAGTTTCAAAACAAGTGAGTCACAGACGTGAAATGTACAGTGTGGGGAATATAGCCAATGCTTATGTAAAATCTTTTTATGGTGACAGATGACAGCTAGACTTATGGTGATAGTTCTGAAATGTATAGAAATATAAAATCACTGTGTTGTGTACCAGGAATTCACATAGTGTTGTAGGTCAATTACACCTTATAAAGAGGCAGACTCATAGCAAAAAAGAAACCAGGTTTGCGGCTCCTATAGGCGCAGAGCAGGGCTAAGGCACTTTAGATGAAGGTGGTCAAAAGGTACAGACTTCTAGTTTTAAGGTAAGTGTTACGGGTGTGATGAACACGTGACTAACATAACTGACACTGCTGTACATTATCTATGAAAGTTAGTAGAGAGTGAATCCTTCAAGTTCTCTTTGCAGGGAAGAACCTTTTCTTCTATTTCTTTAACATTGTATCTATATGGGATGATGGGTGTTCACTAAACCTATTGCAGTGATTATTTCACAATATACCTAAGTCAAATCATTGTACTGTTTATGGTAAGTTTATATGGTGCTGTACTTCAGTGATATTTCTTTCTTTTATTTTTACTTATAGTTGATTTAGATTCCGTTGTACGGCAGAGTGATTCAGTTATCTATATCTAAATGATATTTCCATAGAACTGAAAAGCAGACAGCCGGTCCCACAGTGGAGAGGGGACTTTGTGGGCAGAGATCCTAGCTGGGGCTGCTGACGGGCTGATCCTTGTGAGTCGTGGCGCCTGGCTCCTGGAGGCGGTGCTTCAAGAAGCCAAGGCACAAGCTGCATGGGATTGCTGAAACAGAGTGGGATCCCCAAAAGTCACTTCCTCTGATCCCAGTGGTCTGATTCCAGCCTCCCATGAAGGCTAGCCCAGTTTCAAGGAGACGGGGGTCAGGCTCCCTTGCTGGTTGACCAGCAGCGTGTCAGCAGGGGATCAAGCAAGGCCAGCCAGCTCTGGAGGCCACCTACGGTGCCTGGTGGTGACGAGGATGCTGCTGAGCAGGCGAGGGGCCGCTGTTCTGAGTGCATCGCTTGCATTGGCTTACTTCATCCTCAGAACACCACCCTTAGGACCACGCAGATGGTCCTTCACTCAGTGATGACTCACCATGAAATCTGAAATCACGCTGTGCTGATTTCTCACTTGCGGATGGCCTCACCCTCCTTTGGGTTGCCTTCGTGTCTCTGCATCACCTGGGCAGGACGGTATTCCCCAGGATCCTGGCAGATGCAAGGATGTGGGCTTTGAAAGCATCTCTACAAACTGGCTAGAGGCCTGGGTCAGTTGCTCAGTCATGTCCAACTCTTAGTGACCCCATGGACTGTAGGCCTCCAGGCTCCTCTGCCCATGAAATTTCCCAGGCAAGAATACTGGAGCAGGGTGCCATTTCCTACTCCAGGGAATCTTCCTGACCCAGGGATCAAACCTGCATCTCCCGTGTCTCTTGCACTGTCAGGCGGATTCTCTATCACCAGTGCCACCTAGGAAGCCCAAGGCTGCAGATGCTTGAGGTCCAACAGTGGGAATATCTCCTGTGGCAGACACACAGTAGGCTCACAGCCATTAAGCAAACTGGACGGGAGGACGTCCCGCCTCTTTCTGGAGCCAGCCTACTGCCAGAGCAGGTGCAATGGGATGCTTCTTGGAATTAAACATAGAATTAGCAAGATGTTACTCCTGCCTTAATGACAAAGGCAGGCAACTCAACCGAGTGGTAATTTGCACTGACTGTTCTACCACTTGGTAATAATATCTTAGACTTATAAAAATAACAGAAATGGGGGAGTTGCCCTTGTGAATTAAACATGCTCTGGCACGCTCCCTGGAAGCTGGGAGCATTTCGGTGGCCAGTGCAGAAATGCAGAATGTAGGGGTGACACCGTGGGGCCCCGCTGGGAGGTTTTCCTGCCACGGAACTGGCAGTCACGTGGGGGGTGCACGCTGGCATCATTCCCGCGTGGCAGATGGTCAATAGCTGCCCATGAACACGCGCCCAGTGCGCGCATCCTGATGAAGCTTTCTGGAGGTTCATGAACGCACTTTACCAAATTATTTCAAGATGCCTGTTTGGATCCTGCATACATCGTGCAACCCCAAATGGTTGTTTTTCAAGAAACATGCAAATGGGCCCTGTTCGCTCCCCGTTGGAGCCGTCTGGGTAAGTTGGGAAAGATGCCAAGGGACAGGCCGCTGGGAACCGGAGCTGCTCGGCAGCAGCCAGCGTCAGCCTGGGCGCTGACACCGCCTCTTCCCCTGCGCCTCCATCCTCGCCTCTGACCTGGGCAAGGACTTGTCCTCTGAGCCCCTGTGTCTGACTCTCCAAGACAGGATCATGCCACCTGCTGCGAAGGGCTGTAGGAGAGATCAGGATTGCCTGATGCTTTCAATAGTCGAAAACGGCAAAAATCATCCAAACGGGAGCCAAATAGTCCATCCCAGACTCTAAGCATCTCTGGGAGACAAGAGCGCACAGGAGTGGATTCCGGCTCTCCGCTTTCTCCCGCATTTTCAAGGGAAGGACAGGAAAAGCGAAGTGTGGCGGAGCTGAGGGAGGGCTTCATGAAATTCAAGCATGCAAAGACCGCCCCGAGGGGATGTTTATAGCCCTGGGTTCATTCCTGTCCTGAACCGGGAAGTTATCAAAGTAGTAACAACTCTCTTCACATTTAAGAACATCGTCTGTGCATCCAGCGACATTCACTAAGTGCTCACAACGACCCCACAGACAAGGCGCTGCCAGACCACCGTCCCGCTTTACAGGTGCTCGGAAACCCAAGCCCAGACCAGCCTCTCGGGTCACCGTCAGCAGACCTCCACTCGAGGCTTTAGGACCCCGGGCTTCGCTCGCCCTGCTCGAGCTCCACACGTGACCAGAGCCGAGGGGCTGCCGTTTCCTCGTCCAACAGACAGGAGCGCCTGCCATGTCTGCAAGCACGGGCAGACATCCATTCAGCTGCCATCCTGCGGTCCGCTCAGTGCTGTTTGGACGGTCAAGTTCACGACCATAACAGCCTGGATCAAAAGATCCATATTGTTTGATGAGGCTCATTCCCAAACCCCACCTGTGGTCCATTTCCACCCAACGTCCTGACCAGCAGGGGGACTGGGCAGCAGCTTGGAGGCCCTTGAACTTGGCCACCACGAGGCTTGGCTTAGAGGAACGCCTTGTCTACTTCTGAGGAGACAGAGAGAGGCACAGGCCAGGACACAGATTATACGATCCCAATTTCATGGGGTTTCCATGAAGCAAAGCTCTTGTTCACCAGTCATTCAATGCCCTCTGCTACAGAGGGAAGTTGTTGTTGGAAGTAGCAGGTTTTTTTTTTTCCCCCTACTTCCTTTAACAAGGGTAACCTAACACTTTATTGTTGGACTTTGTTGCAGTTAAGACTTTTTTTTTTTGCAAAACAAAGCACCTCAAAACTCACCATTTTAAGATCAGAATCAGGGATTTACTCCTAGGCCTGAGGGCTCACAACTTGGATGGGGCCCAGCAGGCAGGGAGCGTCCCTGGCGGCTCACTGGTAAAGAATCTGCCTGCAATGCAGGAGATGGAGTTTCCCTCCCTCTGGAGAAGGAAATGGCAACCCACCCCAGTATTCTTGTCTGGGGAGTCCCATGGACCGAGGAGCCTGGCGGGCGGCAGTCCATGGGGTCGTCGAGTCGGACACGACTGAGCCACTAAACAGCTGCAGCAGGTGCCAGGGCTCCTGGTCCTGGCTGGTGGACGGGGTGCCTGCGGTCAGCTGGCCGCCAGCAGCCTCGCTCACGGGGCCGTGGGCCCGAGGAACCGGGTGATGGGGCCGCATGCCGCCGTCCCCCGGCAGGCCAGCTGGGGCTTTCTCACGTGGTGGCCGCAGGTTTCCAGAAGACCGAGGTCAGGATCTGCACGCCCCTTTCTGTCCCAAGGCCAACGCACACTTCAGGGCCAAGAGGAAGGGAAAAAGTCGCAGCCTCTGGACGCTCTGCTGCAAACGGACCCAGAAAATGAGTTATGCAAGCAGAGCTCAGCGTCTCTGCTTAAAAACAAAAACAAAAGCACCAATTTTCCCCTTAGAGACGTCTTAGCGCACGTGTTTACCAAACACCCAACGCTAAGGCTAAATCGAGCATTATCTGACATTGAGGAGAGTGTCTGGTGTGGCCCAAACTCGCCGTCTCAGTTTTCTCCCACCTTCCAGAACATTATCAGATTTTATTCGTTTCTTGCACCATGAATTCAAACACAGCTTCAACACCAACTTAATCCAATCTCTATATTTAAATCTGAAAGCTCCTGCCAGCTGAATTGCATGTTTTTACAGAATTAAGCTTAAAACCAGAGAGCGGTGGTGGGGGGCGGGTGGGGGAGAATGTTTCCATGGAAACGGCACACAACACCCCTCACAGGAGTCAGATTTGCAGAGCGTTGGCTTTGGAGCAAGTGGCTGTAAATGTTTCGGGGAGAACCCTAACAAAGACCTGCAGCACCCATCCGGTTACACCGAGCACGCTGCAGGGTCCCCATGTGCTGTAAGGGGAGAGCACCTGGGTGCTGAGTGCCCTGGGTGATTATTCTCTGGGTCAGCTCTGTGTATGAACAGCGGGTTCTGAAAGGCAGTCCTTGGAGGCCTGGAGGAGCTGGGGCTAAGCTGTTTCTTCTCCGAGAAATAGGAGACTCGCAGAGGGGGCTGGCGGACCTACACCCGGCAGGAATGTAGCCCTCAGCCCAGACAGAAGTGTTCAGTGACGTTTGTCTTGCATTCACTGGCCCCCAGGACCCCAATCCACCCGGGAGATGCTTTGAAAGTTGACTCAGCACCACAGATTTGCTCCGTTATAGCCACACCTTCTCCAAGAGGCATCTTGCCACTGGCTCAGATTCCAGCGCCTGTTTTCTTAGAAGCTCCCACAGTCCTTAGTTCACTCCCTCGGGAACATTCCCCCTGGCCTGTCAGAGGGCGCTGAGTGGGTTGAGAGAGATGGAGGCAGGTGCAAACTCGCCCTTGCCCTCGGGGTCCCTCTGCCTGGCCCTCCGGGGACTGAGCCCCTGACCGCCCCCCCTGTGGACTCGCCACTGCTGTGTCCTGTCCCTCTGAGGCTCTCCCCACTTCCTCGGGGACACATTGTGCTACACGTGGTCCTCAGGCCTGTCCCTGGACCCGGCCCTCAGGAAGTGTGGCCTGGACATTTCTTGAAGGAGTAAAGGGCCTCTCTGTTACTGACAGTCAGCATCTATCCCAAGGGGCCAGAAGGTGTCACGTGACCCGTGTTTAAGGTCGTGTGTCGGGGTGACTTCACACTGGAACCCACACTCCCTAACTCCACGTTCAGCATCTTTAACAGCTTCTAAGTCAATGTCTGTCATGTTTCAGCCTGTTAGGGAAAGTTCTAGAATTTGGATGAAATTCTGCCTTTCCTCCTGCCTCGAATTTCTGCAGAGTTCCAGCAACCCGTCGGCTCCCCCGAGAGTACATTCGTGGTCCTCCGGTGGGCAGTCCACTGGGAAGGCCAAAGCGAAACCAGAGAGAGGCCCCACCTGGTCACGGTGAAGCAGGAGCTGACGTGAGAAGCTGGGCGGCACGCACAGCTGCCGTGACAAAGCGCGGTGTCACCTGGCGCCCCTTGGACATTTGTCTCTGGGTTTCCCCAATCCGCTGCTGTCGGAAAGCAGAGTGGAGAAACCCTGGAGAAAATGGGCTTCTGTTTACCCAGGCAGGTGAGGAGCCAGGGTCAAAGATGGATCTGATGTCCCCCCAGCCTCCACGGGGATGTCGTGGGTCCTTGTGCCCAGGGTGGAGAAATAGTGAAGGTTTGCCGCCTGCGAGAAAAAGCAGATCCGGGGTTAAGTTGGTGGTAAAGCTTCTTTGTAAATTCAGCTTGTTTGTTTAAGAGGCTTTGTCTTCAACAAAGCGACTGCTTCGGAGTGGGCGATGAGGAGGTCGGTGTGGGATGCAGCTAGGAGTGGAGCGTGCGTTCCCAGCGCCCCCCGCCCCACCTCATCCCCTCCGCCCCGGTGAGCACCCGGCCGGCTGGCCCCGTGGCGTGGTATCCTCCACGAGCAAGGCAGCAGTGCCCACCCGTGAGGTTGCCGGTGTCCTCCTTGGTCTCCGTGGGTGACAGGGGTGGGGGCATGTCTGCCCTTGACCTTCGTGGGTGTCCTGTGGCCTCTGAAACAGACAGCCCCGTCACCTGCTCAGGACAAGCCCCATGCGATTCCAGACCAGCCTCTGCTGTCGCCTGGGAGAAGCTTTTATTTCCACGAGAACACCCGCATCCCTTGGACAACATCAAGAGTTGAAAAAGTGAAAGTGAAGTCGTTCACTCGTGTCCAACTCTCTGTGACTCCATGGACTGTAGCCCGCCAGGCTCCTCCATCCTTGGAATTCTCCAGGCAAGAATACTGGAGTGGGTTGCCATTCCCTTCTCCAGGGGATCTTCCCAACCCAGGGATCGAACCCAGGTCTCCCGCACTGCGGGCTGACACTTCACCCTCTGGGCCACCAGGGAAGCCCACGTCAGGAGGTGGGAAGTAGTTTCTGGTTGATTCAGTGAGCCAAGTGAGGCTCGTGTGCCTGCGTGCCTGACTCATGGCCACCCCATGGACCATGTGCTGCCCGCCAGGCTGCCCTGCATGTGGGACTTCCCAGGCAGGCCTCTTGGAGCGGGTAGCCATCCTCTTCTCCAGGGCATCTTCCCGACCCGGGGATCGAACCTGGATCCACCTGCAGGTGGATTCCTGGCCACTGCGCCACCTGGAAGCCCCGTGAGGCTGGAGGGCGATGCAAGGAGGGCAGTCTGTCCTGCGTTCAGCACGTTAGAGCCAGGCTTTCTCTGCAGCTGTGAGACAGGGACGGGTTTATCGGCTTTATTTCCATGATGTGTGTGTTCTAATTTATAAATCTATTCATTGTGTACTTATTTTCATGTTCAGTTCAGTTCAGTCGCTCAGTCGTGTCCGACTCTTTGCCACCCCATGGACTGCAGCACGCCAGGCCTCCCTGTCCATCACCGACTCCCGGAGTCGACTCAAACCCATGTCCATTGAGTCGGTGATGCCATCCAACCATCTCATCCTATTTCCATGTAGACTAACTTACAAGCAGATGCTTTATTTTCTGAACCCACTAAAACGGACTCACTGGTGACTCAGGAGTGTGTATCATCCCCCAACCCTGCTTGCTCACCGGGATCTGGGGCCGGGCCCCCTCCCCTGGCTGACCCAGGGTCTTCTGCTGAGCAAGATCCTTTATTCCTAAGCGGCCAGCCTGAAGGCTGCTTCTCATGGCAGGCTCCCAGGCTCGCACCCTTTTTCATTAGAAGAGGAGCGGACGCTGAGCCCTCCCGGGCGCACAGGCGACAGCAATTTCAAGAGCTCACAGCACAGTGGGTGTGTAAATGGGGTTACCCTGGGGCAGGGCTCTGAAATCACACCACCTCCGGCTTAGAGCGCCGGCCGGGATCCCCCAGGGGAGAGGAGCTCGCAGAGAGGAGACTGTGGCCCTCGGATTGGAGGCCGGCTAGTCCCAGGAGATGGCGAGGCTGGACGGAAACAGGTGGTGCACCAGGGGTCCAGACGGAGTCATGATGGCGAGACGACAGAGGGCGGCTCCCTCCCCCCTTCCTCCTCCGCCCCCCTCCCACATCTATCTAACGGTCCTCCTGCTGCAGAGATGCTGGAGCCACCTTAGGAAGGACTCACACCCCTGCTCCCACTGGGTCAACACGCCGGTGGGACGGAGGGAAGGAGGGAGGAGCTCGCTAGACGGGGTGTGGGCCCTGGACGGGGTGTGGGCCCTGGACGGGGTGTGGGCCCTGGACGGGGTGTGGGGTCTGGACGGGGTGTGGGGTCTGGACAGGGTGTGGGCCCTGGACGGGGTGTGGGCCCTGGACGCGGGTGTGTAGTCTGGACGTGGGTGTGGGCCCTGGACGGGGTGTGGGGTCTGGACGTGGGTGTGGGCCCTGGACGGGGTGTGGGGTCTGGACAGGGTGTGGGCCCTGGACGGGGTGTGGGGTCTGGACGTGGGTATGGGCCCTGGACGGGGTGTGGGGTCTGGACAGGGTGTGGGCCCTGGACGGGGTGTGGGGTCTGGACGGGGTGTGGGCCCTGGACGGGGTGTGGGCCCTGGACGGGGTGTGGGGTCTGGACGTGGGTGTGGGCCCTGGACGGGGTGTGGGCCCTGGACGGGGTGTGGGGTCTGGACGGGGTGTGGGCCCTGGACGGGGTGTGGGGTCTGGACGGGGTGTGGGCCCTGGACGGGGTGTGGGCCCTGGACGGGGTGTGGGCCCTGGACGGGGTGTGGGCCCTGGACGGGGTGTGGGGTCTGGACGGGGTGTGGGGTCTGGACGCGGTGTGGGGTCTGGACGGGGTGTGGTGCCCTGGACGGGGTGTGGGTTCTGGACGGGGTGTGGGGTCTGGACGCGGTGTGGGGTCTGGACGGGGTGTGGTGCCCTGGACGGGGTGTAGGTTCTGGACGGGGTGTGAGGTCTGGACGCGGTGTGGGGTCTGGACGGGGTGAGGGCCCTGGACGGGGTGTGGGGTCTGGACGGAGTGTGGTGCCCTGGACGGGGTGTGGTGCCCTGGACGGGGTGTGGGCCCTGGACGGGGTGTGGGGTCTGGACGGAGTGTGGTGCCCTGGACGGGGTGTGGTGCCCTGGACGGGGTATGGTGCCCTGGACGGGGTGTGGGCCCTGGACGGGGTGTGGGGTCTGGACGGGGTGTGGGCCCTGGACGGGGTGTGGTGCCCTGGACGGGGTGAGGGCCCTGGACGGGGTGTGGGGTCTGGACGGGGTGTGGGGTCTGGACGGAGTGTGGTGCCCTGGACGGGGTGTGGGCCCTGGACGGGGTGTGGGGTCTGGACGGAGTGTAGTGCCCTGGACGGGGTGTGGGCCCTGGACGGGGTGTGGGGTCTGGACGGGGTGTGGGGTCTGGACGGGGTGTGGGCCCTGGACGCGGTGTGGGGTCTGGACGGGGTGTGGTGCCCTGGACGGGGTGTGGGGTCTGGACGGGGTGTGGGCCCTGGACGCGGTGTGGGGTCTGGACGGGGTGTTGGCCCTGGACGGGGTGTGGGGTCTGGACGGAGTGTGGTGCCCTGGACGGGGTGTGGGGTCTGGACGGGGTGTGGGCCCTGGACGGGGTGTGGGGTCTGGACGGGGTGTGGTGCCCTGGACGGGGTGTGGGGTCTGGACGGGGTGTGGTGCCCTAGACGGGGTGTGGTGCCCTGGACGGGGTGTGGGTTCTGGACGGGGTGTGGGCCCTGGACGGGGTGTGGGCCCTGGACGAGGTGTGGGGTCTGGACGGGGTGTGGTGCCCTGGACGGGGTATGGGGTCTGGACAGGGTGTGGGCCCTGGACGGGGTGTGGGGTCTGGACGGGGTGAGGGCCCTGGACAGGGTGTGGGCCCTGGACGGGGTGTGGGGTCTGGACGGGGTGTGGGCCCTGGACGGGGTGTGGGCCCTGGACGCAGTGTGGGGTCTGGACGGGGTGTGGTGCCCTGGACGGGGTGTGGGGTCTGGACAGGGTGTGGGCCCTGGACGCTGTGTGGGGTCTGGACGGGGTGTGGGCCCTGGACAGGGTGTGGGCCCTGGACGGGGTGTGGGGTCTGGACGGGGTGTGGTGCCCTGGACGGGGTGTGGGGTCTGGACGGGGTGTGGGCCCTGGACGCAGTGTGGGGTCTGGACGGGGTGTGGTGCCCTGGACGGGGTATGGGGTCTGGACAGGGTGTGGGCCCTGGACGGGGTGTGGGGTCTGGACGGGGTGTGGTGCCCTGGACGGGGTGTGGTGCCCTGGACGGGGTGTGGTGCCCTGGACGGGGTGTGGGGTCTGGACGGGGTGTGGGCCCTGGACGGGGTGTGGGCCCTGGCCGGGGTGTGGGGTCTGGACGGGGTGTGGGCCCTGGACGCGGTGTGGGGTCTGGACGGGGTGTGGGCCCTGGACGCGGTGTGGGGTCTGGACGGGGTGTGGGCCCTGGATGCGGGTGTGTAGGCTGGACGTGGGTGTGGCCACCCTGATCCTTGCTCCTGGATCAGAGACGAGGTATGAGAGGCAGAGGGGAATTGAGGCCCTCCCAGGACTCCGGCCTGAGGATGGAACCTTTTCTCCATCTCAGGGGCGGGGCGGGGCGGGGCGGGTGGGAGAAGCGGGTTCTGGGGAGAAACCCAGAGTTGGGGTCCCACGTGTCCCAGCTCAGGTGCTCACTGAACGTCCACGTCCGTGGGGCTGTGAGCTTGAAGCAGGAGGGAGGACGGGGGAGGGCGAGGGCCGGAAGAAGCAGCAGTGTCTCTGCAGACAGACGGCCGGGGAGACCGGCAACTGGGCGAGGCGGCCGGGCGCATCCACAGAAGGGTCGGGGAGCGCTGAGCGGACGCGCACATTCCGGTCACGGACTGAGAGGGAGCCACGTAGGAAGCCGGAAGAGGATGCTGAGGAGGAGCCAGGCTTGGAGGGGCCCCTGCCGAGAGAGTTGGTGATGGAGGCCGGGCACGTGGTTGGCGGGGCAGCCAGGCCAAGGGCAGGCGGGGGCCCTGTCCTGGAGGGAGGCCGACGTAGTGCCTTTCCACCGCTGGAGGGGCAAGCAGCGCCCTGTGGGCACTTAAGGTTATCTCACAAAATGAATGAGGACGCACTTGGCCAAGGCGGAGGGGAGCCGGACCATGTCCTGCAGAACAGGGAGCCCCGTGGTGTGGGGGGGCCTTCCTGTCCCTGGAGCCCCCGAGAGAAGCAGGTGGAAGGGGTGGAGGTGGGACTTGGCCTGGGGTGGATAGCCGGCGGGAATGGGGGCGTCTGGCAAGGGGGCCGGTGGGGGCTGCAGCTGCTGGGAAGAGGGGATCAGCCCTCCGAGGAGATGGGAGACCCCTCCATCCCACAGACACTCAGAGGGTCAAGACCTCCCCCAGAGGAGGCCAGCGGGGGCTCTGCCTGCCCTGCAGGTGGTAGTGACTGTATGGGGGACTCATAGCCAGCTCTCTGGGACCCCAGACCCCTGCCAGCAGCTGTGGTTAAAATTTGCATTTAAAGCAATGAACCAGTTTCCCCAGCCCGTCTGCATCCATGATGGGAGGACTGGTGGACAAAGGGTGGTTTTGCACACTCTCAAAACCTCTGGCCCAACAGGTGTGCTGACAGGTCCAGGCAGCCCGGTGGAGCCAGGGACGATCCAGGGACACCCCCCAGCCCTTCCTGCCCGCCCCACAGGAGCACACAGCCTCTCACGTCCCCTCGGGGGCCCTGAGTGTCAGTCACATCCAGCGAGGCACTGAGCAGGGTCCCTTCCGGCCTCAGGAGCTTGGCTGAGTTTGAGCGAGAGAGTCGGCTGAATTGAGAATTTTTGCTTTAGGCATTTTCTCTCTTTGAAAACTATTCTAAGAGCAAGACTGTGCAAAGTGACTCCAAAATATAACTCCAGGGAAGAATTTGCAAACTGCAGACTGAAATCCATTTGCTTAAGTCAGAAGCAAGCTTTTGAGTCACGCTCCTTTAGGTACATGTGATACATTTTTTTAATATAAGCACGATTCCTGGAAAAGTTTATGCTGTTGAAAGGCACAACCTCATGGAACTCGGTGGTCTCTTGGTGGTCTCCTAAGTCTTCTAGGCCTGGTCCTGATGGCCAGCCCCCCCCACCCCCACCACCTGCCAAAGTCACAGGGACCCTCCTTCCTGGGGATGGGGCCTTGTAGCCAGGTGCCTCTTCCTGTGTCATGAGGGGAGCAGTGAAGTGACTGTCCTGGGACTCTGTTACCTCTGCTGGGAGCTTCCTGGGTGCTCCCATCACCCCCACCAGCTCTGCGGCCACGTGTCACCAGCTCCATCCTCCCACTCAGGAGGAGACAGGTTCAGACAAGGGCGTCCATGAAGGCCACCCACTGGGTAGCCCTGAGCCAGCGTCAGCCCATGATGTCTGTCCGCACCCGACTCCTCCATTTCTTATTCAGTTGTTGTTGTTCAGTTGCTCAGCCGTGTCCTACTCTTTCTGACCCCATGGACTGCAGCACACCAGGCTTCCCTGTCCATCACCATCTCCCAGAGTTTGCTCAGACTCATGTCCATTGAGTTGATGATGCCGTCCAACCACCTCATCCTCTGTAAAGAAAAGGAAAATGTGCACTCACTTTGGTTTTGGTCTTCCTCCTGATTATTTTGACTTTACTACTTGCACGTGAAGGGCATATAAAAATTCCATCCCTCTTCACATAGGTCCCAGAAGTGTCTCCCAGGAGGGGCTGAAGGGCAGAGGCCAAGCTGGGAGGGAGCCCACAGAACTTGTCAACCTGACCCGTTTCCAAAGTGTCTTGGCCCCTGGGAGTGGTGCGGGGCTGACTTCCTGACCTCCCAGTCTCCCCGAGACCCACCTCCAGGCCTGCTCCTTCCAGGGAAGGGAGAATGTTCCAGTGGGAAGAGCCTACCCAACCAGGGTGGAGGGGGGAGATGAGCTCTGGTTTTCGGTCTCTATCTCTTTAAATGACTTATTTTGAAATAATTTCAAACTTAGAAAAATTGAAAACGCAGTTTAAAAAAAAAGCCCTTTTATGCAGTCTCCCTGATATGCAATATCATGTCTTATTGCTTTATCTCTGGCACTCGGTTTTCATTATTATTATTGTTGCTGCTACTGTGTGAACTTTTGAGGGTGAGTCACATTTACACTTAATAATTTGGTGTGGCTTTCCAAAAAATTAGGATATGCTCTGAAATAATCACAGTATGGGTGTCACATTGAAAAATGGATCAGTGGTTAAGTCATCTAATATGTAGCCTGCATTCTAATTTCACGAATTGCCCCAACAATGTATTCTATAGCATTTCTTTCTGGTTCTGAATCCAACTGAGGTCCCACAATGCACTTAGCTGCTGCATCTCTTTAGTCTCCTTTTATTCAGAACATTTGTCAACTGATAAAAGAAAAAGCATGATGTAAGAGTTGTGAGTTAAGTTCTGTTTGGGGCAAAATGAGGACTCTAGCCTAGGAGTGTGTGTGTGTGTGTGTTAGTCGCTCGGTCATGTCTGACTGTTTGTGACCACATGGATTATAGCCCGCCAGGCTCCTCTGTCCATGGACTTTCTCCAGGCAAGAATATTGAAGTGGGTTGCCATGCCCTCCTCCAGGGGCATGATTCAGAGATTAAACCCGGGTTTCCTGCATTGCAGGTGGATCCTTTACCATCTGAGTCACCCAGGGAGGCCCCTTGCCCGGAAGATAGCACCTCAGATAGCTCTGAAGGGCTGCTCCAGAGGCAAGGAGGAAGGTCAGTGATTTTGGTGAAAGAGCAGCACTCAACGTGCACGCAAACACGTATTTTTTACAAAAGGTTACTGCTGGTCACGGGGAACAGACATCAGCTTGCAGAATTTTAGTGTATTTCTAGATATGAGGAAATACAAGAATTGGGCTCATAAAATCTCCTCCTGAAATTAACTATCCTGAAGACCTGTCCTGCCTATTTTTCCCAGAGCACAGAGCTCCTCATTCCTGATCTCCACCCTGAGCTCCCTTTGGGGGATATTGAAGGTCAGCAGCTGCAGCAGCTCATGATTTAATCTTTGTAGACATAGATGGTAAGTGCCAGTTTGCAGTTGGCACATTCCTCAGCTTTGTCTTCTTCTTAAAAGGAGCCGAGGCTCCCTGGAGAAAGACGACTCAGGAGGTGAGGCTGGACGGTGCCTACTGAGCTATAAACATCTTGTGCCAGAAACTACAGATGCATTCACAGGCATGAGGGGGCCGGGCAAAAGGATAGACGTGCCTGCTTGGAAGAGCATTCACTGGCCAAATCGGGGATGATCTGAACAACATCAGTGTCATCGGGGATGACACTGTCCATGAGACAGTGGAAGACTCATGGATTAATACCCATTAAATAAAGCAAGACCAGTGAGTCCATACTCACTCTAGATAAATTAATGTGTGTGTGTTCTCAAGTGCGAAGTCATGTCCGACTCTATGAGACCCCATGGACTGTAGCCCACCAGGCTCCTCTGTCCATGGGATTCTCTCAGCAAGAACACTGGAGTGGGTTACCCTTTCCTCTCCAGCGGATCTCTCTGACCCAAGGATTGAACCCACGTCTCTTACGTCTCCTGCATTGGCAGGCGCATCCTTTACTACTAGTGCCATCTAGGAAGCCCTAGGTATAAAAATATCTACAAGCAGTCAACAGATAAATTAATAGTTGAATAGACAGAGGAGAATAGGGCTTTCCTGACTGAAATGTCCACTAATAAACACCCAGGAAGGAGGAAACTAGAAAAGGTCATTTGTCATCATCTTAGGGTTCCCAGGTGCTGGTGGTAAAGACCCAGCCTGCCAGTGCGGGAGACATAAGGAAACACGGGTTCTATCCCCGGGTCAGGAAGATCCTCTGAAGGAGGGCATGGCAGCCCACTCCAGTGTTCTTGCCTGGAGACTCCCATGGACAGAGGAGCCCGGTGGGCTACAGGCCGTGGGGTCGCACAGAGTCAGAGAGGACTGAGGTGACTTGGCATGCGCGCACACAGTTGCCTCAGTAACAATTCATTCTGCAAACTCTCGGTGCTTCTGCTGTCTGGGACACAGGCTGATGTGTGTTGAGGAACAGAGTATTTCTATCATCTCAAAAATAATAATCTCCCTATAGAGTAATTGCTAATTTCAAAATGAAAACTAGTAAATATGGTGAGAAACCAGGTCACACTTTAACCAAGTGTTCAAAATTAGTTTTGAGATGAGGGGCAAACACACAAATGAGTCCTTTGTGGCTCCCTAGAAAGACCAACGTCACTTCTGTGTTATTTCAGCCAGGATGTGTAAATGAAATCTAATCATTGGGAAATGTAAGACAAGCCAAAATTCAGGGACATTTTATAGAATGACTGATGTGCACTCTTAAAAAATAGATGTAAAATCACCTCTGAGCCATCCGGTTCAAAAAGCAACATGTCCATAGAAGCAACATTAAATGTTTATCAACAGATGAATGGGTAAAGAAAATAAACAATGGAATACTTTGTTATTGTTCAATAGCTAAGACGTGTCTGACTCTTTGAAACCCTATGGACTGTAGCATCCCAGGCTCCTCTGTCCTTCACTGTCTCCCAGAGTTTGCTCAAATTCATGTCCATTGAGCCAGTGATGCTATCTAACCACCTCATCCTCTGGTGCCCCTTTCTCCTTTTGCCTTTAATCTTTCCCAACATCAGGGTTTTTTCCAGTGAGTCTACTCTTTGCAACAGGTGGCCAAAGTATTAGAGCTTCAGCTTCAGAATCGGTCCTTCCAATGAATATTCAGAGTTCACAACCTTTAGGATGGAATTGTTTTATCTCCCTGCTGTCCAAGGGACTCTCAAGAATCTACTCCAGCACCAAAATCCAAAAGCATCAATTCATTGGTGCTCAGCTTCTTTATGGTCCAGCTCTCACATCCGTACATGACTACTGGAAAAACCATGGTTTAGTGGCTAAGTTGTGTCTGACTCTTGCGACCCCATGGACTGTAGCCTGCCAGGCTCCTCTGTCTGTGGGATTCTCCAGGCAAGAATACTGGAGTGGGTTGCCATTTCTTTCTCCAGGGAATCTTCCCGACTCAGGGAAAAACCATAGTTTTGATTATATGGACCTTAGTAGGCAAGGTGATGTCTCTGCTTTTGAATATGCTGTCTGGGTTTGTCATAACTTTTCTCCAAGGAGAAAGTGTCTTTGAATTTCATGTCTGTAGTCACTATCAGCAGTGATTTTGGAGCCCAAGAAGATAAAATCTGTCACTGCTTCTACTTTTTCCTCTTCTATTTGCCATAAAGTGATGGGACCA